ACCTACCTGGTACCTGCAACTCAAATAGCAGAGACAAACAACTCTCTTTTACTCGAATTCAATAAATCTACAACAAGAATTACAACTACAACTACACGCATACCTACAAGCATACCTATACCTATACCTATACCTCTGCCTACACCATTGTTGAATCTTTCATTACAATCAACATGGGTGTCAAGACATTCAAAATTGGCTCTGCGGCAGGCATTTCTAATGATCGCAAATCTTCTAGTTGCTCATCGACATCAAAAGCTTCTCAGGAATCTGCTAACCTACCTGAACCATTTCCTAGTCCCCGAATTCCACCACTTGGAAAGAAACGACTTGCCAACGTACCTCCATCCGATTATAGCAAAATGGTTCTCAATCAAGCAAAAGTTAAATCCGTCTTGAGCGGCGACAGTCTTGTACTTACCTCAGTTGAGAACCCTGATCTCGAGCGCATTTTGTCCTTAGCTTACTGCACTTCACCGCATCTGCGAAAGGAAGGCGACGAACCATTTGCATTTCAGTCTCGCGATGCCTTGCGAAAATTAGTAGTGGGCAAGGTTGTACAATTCCAAGTGTTGTACCAAATTCCAAATACTAAGCGCGAATATGGACTTGTTTTCCTCAATGATGGAACGAAACTACCCGAAGAAATGATAAAGGAAGGTTGGCTCAAACTAAGAGAAGATGCTGGCCGAAAGGAAGATTCGGAATCAGCCCTTCAACAACTCGACGCCTTACGTTTATACGAAGCTACCGCTCGCAGTGAAGACAAGGGTCTATGGCAAGAAAATGGTGGACGTATTGAGGTTCAGCATGACATGGGCAACCCAGAGTCTTTCTTAGATACATGGAAGGGAAAGACAGTGGATGGTTTGGTCGAACGTATATTGAGTGGTGATCGAATGCTCGTGCGTTTGATTGTTGCTCCTACGCAGCATATTCAAGGTCAGATAAGCAGATTCATGTGTGTGATATAATTAACTGACAATAATTAGTTATGACTTTGGTTGCTGGTATTCGCGCACCAGCTACTGAGCGAGTCAACCCATCGAATGGACAAACAGCTCCTGCAGAACCATTTGGAAACGAAGCACGACGTTTCGTCGAGGAACGATTATTGCAAAGAAATGTTAAAATCCATATTCTTGGACTTAGCCCGCAAAATCAACTCATTGCTTCAGTTATCCATCCCAAGGGAACTATTGCCAAATTTATCCTCGAAGCTGGACTTGCACGATGCACCGATTTCCATTCAACACTCCTTGGCTCAGATATGGCAACATTACGTGAGGCTGAAAAGCGTGCACAAAATGCTAAACTCGGTCTGTTCAAGGACCATGTTGTAAAGAACAACGGCGCAGGTGGAAGTCTCGAAGCGACTGTTACCAAAATCTTCAGCGCCGATCAAATCTTTGTCCAGAACAAGGCAGGTGTTGAGAAGCGCATAAACATTAGTAGTATTCGTGGACCTAGACCTACTGAGTCATCTGAAGCGCCTTTTAGAGACGAGGCTAAGGAATTCCTTCGAAAACGCCTGATCGGAAAACATGTCCGAATCAGCATCGATGGATCAAGACCAGGTACTGAAGATTATGATGCAAAGGAAGTTGCCACCGTTACTTTGAATGATAAGAATATTGGATTGCAATTGGTTCAAGAAGGTTGGGCTTCCGTAATTCGTCATCGAAGAGATGACACCGACCGCGCTCCTAATTACGACGATTTGTTGGCTGCACAAGAGAAAGCCAAGGAAGAAAAGAAAGGAATGTGGTCAGGAAAGGCCGCAAAGGCAAAGCAATATGCCGATGCATCTGAGACTGTCCAGAAGGCTAAGCTACATGTTGGATCACTACAACGACAAAAGAGAATCCCTGCCATTGTTGACTTTGTCAAAGGAGGCGGCCGATTTGTTGTACTCGTGCCTCGTGAAGGCATTAAACTCAACTTCGTTCTTGCTGGTATTCGAGCTCCCAAATCTGCTAGGAACCCAACCGATAAGAGCGAACCATTTGGCAAGGAAGCACACGATTTAGCTACACGAAGATTATCACAACGTGATGTTGAAATTGATGTATATAATACCGATAAAGTTGGTGGCTTCATTGGTGAACTTTACATCAACAAGGAGAGTTTTGGTAAAATCTTGGTCGAGGAAGGTTATGCAACTGTTCATCAACACTCTGCAGAACAATCCGGAAACTCGAAGGAATTATTAGCAGCTGAGAAGCGTGCAAAGGATGCTCGAAAGGGTCTTTGGGCAGATTGGGATCCATCTTTAGATGTGGAAGAAGAAGAAGAATACCAGCCTGCCAATGATGATGAGGTCACTCAGATCAAGAGAGAAAAGGATTACAGAGATGTCATTGTCACCCAGGTAAATGACGATGGAAAGTTGAAACTCCAGATCATTGGTACTGGCACTTCGGCTCTTGAGACTATGATGACTCAATTCAAGTCTTTCCATTTGAACCCATCCAACTCAACTAGTCTCCCTGGTCCACCAAAGGCTGGCGACTACGTTGCGGCCAAGTTTTCCGAGGATGATCAATGGTATCGTGGTCGCATCCGCTCCAATGATCGTACTGCTAAGGAAGCAGAAATTGTTTATATCGATTATGGTAACAGCGAGAAAATTCCTTGGTCTCGTCTCCGACCACTTTCACAACCGCAATTCTCTACGCAAAAACTTCGCCCACAAGCTGTTGATGCTATCTTGACTCTTCTTCAATTTCCTACAGACGGGGATTATATGAAAGAGGCAATTAGCTATCTTAACCACAACATCGCCAATAGGGAACTCGTCGCAAATGTCGATTATACAGCTCCAGATGGAACTTTGTATGTCACATTGTTCGATACTAAGAGTCAAAACTTGAACGATAGCATCAATAATGATATCGTAGCTTTGGGTCTTAGCATGGTTCCAACCAAATTGAAGGGTTGGGAGAAAGGATTTGCGGATGTTATTAAAAGTTTGACTCAAAGTCAAACTGAGGCTAGACAAAATCGCCAGGGCATGTGGGAGTATGGTGATGCTTATGAAGATTAAAGTGGTGGATGGAAGATGAAGGCTGGCCAATAATCAACTAGTAAACATCATGAATTTCTCCTACTGTTCATCGACTCATTTTATTGCTGCTTTTGATGATTCTTGAGAATGTATTGCAAGCTTTTTTCTTGCATGGTATCGCGTGGCATTTCATAACATAACATAGCATAGCATAGCATAGCATAGCATAGCATGGTAATACATCCGTTCTCTTTTTTTATGGCATCGCATTATGACTCACGCTGGATGGGTGAATGGATGGATGGATCATTTGCATGGGATTTATAAAAGTCTTTTTTGGTGGGTGGGTGGGGATGGATTGGTTGACTGCATGGGGGAAGGGAAAGAAGTGAGTAGTTGGTTGGTTGGCTGGCGGGCATGGGAGAAGTTGATACCTATTCATCTACCTACCTACCTTCATATCTCTGGGTTTTGGTCTTGGTCTAGGTCTTGGTCTTGCTACCTATTTATTTGGTTAGACTGGACCGGACTGGACTGGACGGGCTGGGACGGGGCTAGAATAGACTAAATGAATGAATTCTTTTCCTTGTGGAATTGGGAGGTTGATTTGTGTGTGTTTGTAACGTGACGCGATGTGACGTGATACGACTGAAGAATTCGTAGAATGGCAGCGAGGTTTTAGCAATTGTTTTTGTGACGATTTATGCTGCATTGATTTGGTATTCAAGACTCGGGTAATATTGCAAACGAACCAAAGCGCGTATGATCGCAGAATGTTCTCCTCAAACATGTCGTACAGAATCACACTTCCTCTTCTCCTCCCCCATTTTTCTCCATATCTGTTTTTTTCTTTGGTCGCTCATCCAGGAGAGAGATCACGTTTCGCTTCCTTTTCGGTGCGTGTGCGATGCTGATATCTCGTTTGATTTGAGACTTTGTGGTAGATGTCTAGGTGGTTAATGATGGATTTTCTAGATTCTGAGGGTTTCTGAGGGGGAGGCGGGGAAACTTGGAAGGGTGTGTTTTGATGGATCGATGGGTGGATGGATGGGTATCTGAGTATGGATTAATTAGTTTTTACGGAGGTGATGGATAGGGAATAATGGATAATGGATGGTGGAGTTTGGTCAGATGTTCGGAGTGGTGGGATGGTGGATGTATAGGTGCCTGGGTATTAGATTGGTTGTTTGATGATAGATATGTGAAAGATGTGGAAGGAAGAGTAGCGTCGCTTAATTACTCTCTGCTAATTTCAGTACCCCTTTCCCACTGCTTATTTCTTTTGTATGGCCTCTTTCTTTCCGTGTCTTCTGAATGCGGATCCGAGCGATCTTAAGCTACCTATATCTGCGTTGCCAATTTATCTTCAAAACTGAAACTGGAAGTCATGCGCTGCGAGTGGGGTCTCTAGAATACATCGCCTCGCCTGCTATGGTGTGTGGTGATTTGTGTGGTCTTTTCCTAATATTGGGGTCGAGGGGTGGGTGAGGATACTGTGGAGGTTGAGATTTCCGTGGATGAAGAAAATGGAGCGTGGAAATTGTGGATGGGGAGATTTTTGAGTGGGACATCGAGGTCGGTGATGGGGAGGAAGGGAGGAAGGGAAGCGAACCCTTGGTGATAAGTTGTTTCCGGAGAGATACTATACCCTCTAATTGAATGAGCTCTCCATCCTCGCACTGCTCTTGGATGTACTGACATGCGGGCTTGGGCTCAGAAGTATCTTTAATGAAGCAAGAAAGAATCTCTCGATCGTGACGAGGCAGACTAGACGAGGCAATCAAGTACAGCGGATCTTTCATGAGAAATCAGGAAAGAAAAAAAGAAAAAGAATAAACTCAATGTTGTGGCCAAATATTTTGAAATTTAATAAATCGGGGATATAAACTCGCAACAATCTTAGACGCCAGGTCAAATCAGGTGACTCACAACGTTGTATTGCCGCCGCAAAACTTCACCTCTCTCTCTCTTTCTTCCTTCCTTCCTCCCCCCCTTATTCCACAACCCTACTCTTCCACACCCTCCCCCTCGTCGCTCCCACGTTCAAAGCCGGATCACTCAACAACCCAAACTCCTCGGCTTCCCTCTCTAAATCTCCAATCCCCTTGCCCTCCCTAAAACTCAACACCCCCACCGATTCCAATTCCTCCACACATTTCAGCAAAAACTCTCGACAGATCTTCTCCCCTTTTGCGATCTTCTTCCGTCCCGTCGTCCATTCGGTGGATATCGTTTCTTCGATTATCTCGCGCATGTCTTGGATGTCGGTTCCGATTTCAATGGCGGCGAGGAGAGAAGATGAGGTGAGGAAGGTGTGGCTGTTGTCTTTTGTGTCGTGGTTCTTGTTGTGGTGGGGATCTTCCAGATCATGCAACCCGTCATTCTTTTCTTGCTTTTCCTCATCGTCTGTCTTGTTCCTTTTATGTTTCCTATTCTCTTCTACTTCTTTTGTACTCCTATCACTTTCCAATTGCTCGTGTTTGTCGCTTATTTCATCGCTGTTGTGTCCTGTATCTCCCGGCTCTCGCTTTCGTTTATCTTCGTATTTCTTCTTGCTTTCTTTCTGATCCTCTCGTCTATCTTTGCTTTCCCCTTCATGATCAGCTCTTTGCTGGTCACCATCTTCCCTAGACTCTTCGCCTTGTAATTCAGAGTCTTTACTACTATCTCCACTCTCACCACTATCTCTATTCCCCTTACCCTCTTCCTCCTCCTTCTCCCCCTCCCGATCCTCCTCATCCCCCCCCAGCATCTCCAAAATCCATCTATCCGGCACCGGGTCAAAAACATGATACACCCATCCCCTCTCCGGTTTCTCCTCCGTCAAGTACAAACTCCAATGAAACGTCCCCGGATTATTTCTCGCCGCCAAATGAATATATAATTTATTCCTCTCCCATCCTATATCTATCTCCCTTTCTTCGCGTTTTTTAATATCCCCCAGGGCATTAATACTTCCCATAGCTGGGTTAAATATTGTGGCTGGTCTCGTAGGATGAGTGAGTATCGATACCCCTATTTTCAGAACTGAAATGTTGTCCAATCACCCTCAACATTCGTCGGAACTGTAAGATATTACAAATTACAAACTAATTTTCACTACCCAAATCTCATCATCGAACTGCATGTCAAATACGAAGATATCTCGTTTGGATGCACTCAAATGATGATATTGATAATTCGATTTGACCATGATGAATCTCAATTATCAAACTTTATATGCGTCCCACTTCTATGCAACTCCATCCCAAAGCGGTTTGCTACATAAGGTTACATGAACACGTGGACGCTGGATGGGTTTTCATACTTTGAGTAATCGATCGTCTAATGCCAAGCAAGGCATATTGGCATACATCTTTAACATCCATCCCCATGCAATTTCGCAATGAACACCATTCACAATTTACATACAGACAATACACTTAAGTAAACAGCTCAAAAATCAACAACAGATATTCATGCCCCTATACCTTCCAGAACGACTCAATTTCAATCCGACATCAACTCACAACACAATATCGCATAATAGCAAGCACTGAAAATAATTATTAATCATCAAATCATTTCATTTGTTTAAATTCATGTCTTGCCACGCGTAAATACAAATCGTAGTTCATCCGGTCTTTCAATTTTGACCTCCGTGACAATCAATAACTATAAAATCATCCACCGAACCCCGAGACTCAAAAGCAATTTATTGCAACTTAGCCTTCAAGATATCCTTCAAGGTAACGGCATCAGCAGCAAACTTGCTGATACCCTCTCTCAACTTCTCAACAGCCATAGCATCTTCGTTGAATGCAAATCTGAACTCGGCCTCATCATCAATGTAGGTCAATTTCTCGATATCCAAACTGCTAGCGTTCTCAGCGATCAACTTCTTAGGGACGGCCTCTTCGGAGTTCATCAACTCCTCCAACAAGTTTGGTGAGATGGTGAGGTAATCACATCCAGCAAGCTCAGTGATTTCACCAACGTTACGGAAAGAAGCTCCCATAACAATGGTCTTGTATCCGTACTTCTTGTAGTAGTCGAAGATAGCCTTAACGGACTCGACACCTGGGTCTTCTTGGGCGGAGTAGGTCTTTCCGGTAGAGGCCTTGTACCAATCGAGGATACGGCCGACGAATGGAGAGATGAGGAAAGCACCGGCTTCGGCACAAGCAACGGCTTGGGATTTGGAGAAGAGGAGAGTAAGGTTGCAGTTGATTCCGTGGTCGCGTTGGAGGACACGGGCGGCTTGAATACCTTCCCAGGTGGAAGCAATCTTGATCAAGATGCGGGACTTATCGATACCTTGCTCCTTGTAAAGCTAAATGAGACACATATGTTAGTATAAACTCATTGTAACTGAGATATATCCGTCTCAAAGACTGGATATGAATAGGCATATAACATACGTCAATAATTCTGAGGGCCTTGTTGATGGTGGCCTTGGTGTCGAAAGAGAAACGAGCATCAACCTCGGTTGAAACCTTTCCTGGAACGATCTTCAAGATTTCCTTACCAAACTCGACGAGAAGACGATCGAGAGTGGCATCAGTCTTCTTTTCGAGGTCACCGTCGACCTCCTTTCCGAATGCGACTGCGGTATCGATGAGCTTGGCGTATTCAGCCTTTTTGGAGGCAGCGAGGATCAACGATGGGTTGGTGGTGGCATCTTGTGGTTGGTATTTGGCAATGGCTGATGATATCTGTTAGTAGTTGATTGTAAGATTGGCGAGAATTTTCTTTAGATGGTAACGTACAAGCAAAGTCACCTATAGAGAAATAGGAGTCAGTAAAAGCTTCAAGCAGTTGCAATGATGGATTAGAAACTTACCAGAGTCAGAGACAACGGTCTGTTGTTACAAAGAAATGATTAGCAGACTACATTCCAAAGTATATCCTCAAATTCCATCTACTTCATGAGGGTTTCCCTATAGTTTCGGGCTGGACCCGAGTGTCCCGTCGACCAGCCATCAATAGATAAAGACAGATTGTTTACTTACGGTGCCAGAAGCTTTGAGTTGATCTAATGAAGAAGGCATGATTATAATATGTGATTGTTTTGGGGAGTATCTTGGTTGAAATTTGTTAAAAGGAAGTAATATGAAAATGGTATGATGGATTTTTGAGTGAGAAAGAGGTTGAAAGGTTTTTTATGTTGTTGAGACAGAAGTTCGGTTTCTAACTTCACCCCTCCGGCGTCATATGGTGGGGTCAAATAAGTGGAGAAATTCACTCTGTTGGTAGATACGTATGGGGTGACTAATCATGAAGCATGCACCTTGTGTGATAGATGATTTGTGAGGAAGAAATGAGGTGAATTTGGAGTGAAGTTGGAGTGAAGGTTGAGAAATAAATAAACAGGGGGAATGTTGTTTGTCTCTCGAATTGTATTTTACATCAAAGAAGAAATCGACGATTGTTTATATAAAGTCATTGGGAATTAACAATTGGCAGGTCCTACATAGTCATCACACTCAAGATCCAAGAATGATTAATTGAATTATACTCGGGCCATCAATAACGATTTCTCTATACAACTGTTGGTTTCTTCTCTTCTCTTCTCTTCTCTCCTGTACTCCCCTCCTAGACTCCTTTGTCAACATCCCACTTATTGTATTGATGGTCTACTTTGAATCCCATACCCGATGTCGCCCCAATTCTATACCTAGTAATCCGGAGACCTAATTTTCCACCAGAGCCAACCAAGTTCTTCCGAATCTTAGAGTGATGAAGCGGCGAGAGCGGGTCTAGAATACAGTCGAAAGTGTAAGCAAGATTACGATTCGTTCCATCCGTGTTCGGTGAAGACGGTAATGTTGTCGCGTTTAAGGTATCTGTCTCAAAACTGGAAAAAGTCCTAAAGTTTATTTTTTACGGCCTGTCTAATGTCGTTATGTTCATGTATGCGGTAATAGACGGATCGGCTTGAGGGAAATACGATAGTCTCTTGAAACAACGACGTGGTCTTATCCATCCATAACGCCAAGATGAATGCCATAGCGAGAGTCTAAATCCGACCGAAAATGTACTGTACACCGACATTGGGATCATTTGATCAAGATGCCTTGGAATAAGTACCACAATGTTTGTATTTGAAAAGGACAATGGCTGTGAATTCTTCCATCCAAATGGGATAATGTTTTCATGTTGTCAACATTACTTTGATGCAGATTTTCGATAGCAACACGGCCCAAACTCAAGCCAGAACGCATTCTACTCGAATTGGAAGTTTCCTATGTAAGTAGACCACCGAGGATCATAATTAATGGTGCAACAAGACGAATGGGCAAATCCAATATGATTAAACAGACACAAGAAATCAGGAAAAAGCACAGTGTCTCAAGACAAAGACATTTCGAGAACCAGCGGCGAAATCATCAACGTTAAGGAAGAGAACATACGAATGACAAATTTATCCATAGCACCAGAAAGACCAGAATACACCCTGCATCGACGATGGAATTGCGATTGGTGAAAGAGACATAGCGACATTAGAGTTATTCTATCGCGAATTTGACCATGACTTGGTAGATCATTACTTGGTAGAAGTTCAACAAAATGCTGAAGTTAAGAAGCAATCATTGAAACAAATGAATTCTACAAGACCATGACATCACTTAATGGCATGAATCTAGACAGCCATCTCAGCTTTTTTTTGCTGAAGAAAGGGAGATCAGCAACTGATGGCAAGCGATTGAGAATCGTAGTATCAATTTTCAGAAGACATGAAGCTTAAAATATTATATATGTCGATTGAGCCTTAAAGGTTACTCCTATGAAAGTCCATGATCTTCAGCCTTATCAGATAATTTGAATTTCATCATATCGACAAGGGTTGTTGACCTGCCGTGCATTGGCGCTATTCAGTATCAGATCTAATTCGTCAGCCTTATGTAACCTCAGAAATCCAAATTTTTAACCTGTCAGCCTTATCTCAAACTTCATCATGTCGGTATCCAATACATGTAACAAAAGCTCTCTCCTGCAGTTAGTGATTGCCATGCTCCTCCGGTAACATCTCACAACCCGCCATCAAAATGGCACAATTTATACCCCGCACCGCGTTCCCCCAACAACTTTCTCTCCCTCGATCGTACTACCTAGGCCATCATGCATCCGGTCTCTCGCGAATGAAAACCATGCTCTCATCCATCGACCTCATTATAGAATGTCGAGACTACAGAGTCCCTCTCACATCTCGAAATCCGCTATTTGAACAATCGCTCGCGGGAAGAGAAAGAGTCATCGTGTATACGAAACGGGATTTGGGGTATCAGGGTTTGGCTGTGGATAAAAAGGTATGATTTTTCCTTCATGTATACAGACTCGAGATGCGGTAAACTAATTACTGGGAATGACAGAGAGAAGCAATTATAAAAGATTGGCATAAACCCTCCACCACTCTCTTCTCAAATCACAAATCCAAATCCGATATCCAAACTATTCTCTCGCTTTGCAAAGAACATGGTCTTGCCCATCAATCCCTAACCGGTTCTCGAATTCTCGTAGTGGGTATGCCTAATGTTGGAAAATCTTCTTTATTAAATGCCCTGCGCATGGCTGGTGTAAACAGAGGCAAAGCAGCATTCACAGGTGCCCAACCCGGTATCACGAGAAAAATCGCATCAGGTGTCAAAATAGTCGATCCGGACCCGGAAGCAGGAACAGAGGGTGTCTATTTAGTAGATACTCCCGGTGTATTTGTACCTTTCGTACCGGATACGGATAGTATGTTGAAACTGGCGTTGGTGGGAAGTGTCAAGGATACTATTATTGCGCCAACGACATTAGCAGATTATTTACTCTTCCATATTAATTTAAAAGTAGGAGGGAGCGTGTATAAAGAATACTGCGAGGAAACGAATGATATCGTACAGTTTCTAGAGGCAGTTTGTAGGAAAACGGGACGGTTAGGGAAGGGTGGGGTACCGGATGTAGAGGCTGCAGCACTTTGGGTCATCCAGAGGTGGAGACAGGGTAATCTGGGGAAATTCGTGCTAGATGAGGTGGAGGTTGATGGATTGGAGAAGAAAGTTATGGAGGAGGTTAGGATGAGTGTTAGTCAAGCAAGGAAACAGGCAAAGGATACCCAGAGGATGAGGGCGAAGACAAGGAGAGCGGAGTCAATGGGATGAGGTTGTGTATACGACCCTCCTTGGAGCATACTAATTTTTTCCTGCGCGACTTCGGCCCTAGCGCTGTAAATGTCATCCGATATCATCGTGTGATTGTGTAGCTCTGTGTTGTCATCGATCAATATCAACTATATCACAGACGAGCAAGTCAAGGACATGGGGGAAACGGAACCATGAAATCAGGCGAATACATCGAACCAGATGGATGACTGGCCACATTGATCTACCATCCACTGCTCCACCAATTTAGAAGCCCTGAAGACCCGAAAGGCACTCATACCCTCGCAACTCTTTCCCCTAGTTCCATCAAACCGCACAGTCACTGCAACCCAACTTCAGTTCCCCTGTCACAGGCGCTACTGCCAACAAATCTCCTGGAACAAGGAGAATAAATGTTATGCTGGATAAACAGAATATCGATCTCATCATCGAGACGCTATCGATTTCTCGGGGGCTCGCTTAGAAAATGTATACACCTGAGTGATGATAGGCGAGTATGTGAAAAAGCTTTAGTATAGCTACCTATATAGTAGATGAAGGATAGGGGAGAAATGTATGAGAATTTGTATGTACTATCTACTACATGCTATATACTAGTCCGCATTTGTAGGTCCAACACGAATAAACATAAAACTATCTCAAACTTGGAAAAATGATGTTATGATATGACTGGTTGGTTTTCTCATCGATTACTTTGGATTCAGCGGAAATTAGACAGGAAGAGAAAGAGGGAAAACATTCATGGCGTAACTCAATTATCTCGAGCGCTCCAAATTTTATATTGAGGCCGGGGATCCAAGACTAAATTTTCACTTTTTATATTTTGAATGATTGGTTCGTAAGCTTTGTTGTAGAGAGAGAGAGATCTATCATATTGGTATTTGAGCCAATTTTATACATTCATCCGCCCCGTCGCTCAAATTTACAGATCACAGATCGTATACATATTATACATTCGACAGAACAGAGCGGGGTATTTCCAACCATCAACCATCAACCACCGAACCTCTAAACCACAAAATTAACCGTCTTTCCCCTTCCCACAACCACCACCCTCTTACTCCTACCCGCTACATCGACCTGTCCCTCCTCTTCCCCAAACCTCCTCATTCCCTCTTCACTTTTCAAAACCCTATCCACAACCCATCTCTGCAACTCCACTTTATCCATTCCCTCTTCCGGAATCGGTATGTCGATTGCAAACCTCAATTTTCCATTGACTTGTACTGCGCATTTTTGAGTTTCAGGAAGTAACCAATTTATCGATCCATCTGTCTCTGGGAACTTCGTTTCGAAGATTGAAAGTGTTTCAACACCGCCGTGAGAAATCGACCAACATTCTTCCGCGAAAGCTGGAGTAATAGGGGCCATCAATTGAAGCAAGATTCTCGTAGCTGCATTTTCGATTAGACCACTATGCTCTTCTACCCAACTTGCGTTTTGAGAACGAGCATCAACGTTTGTTTGTGATGTTCCGCGGCTGACTTTGTTTGCTTCTGTGGTTTCGATGATAAGGTTGGTAAGACTCATCAGATCCGAGACAATGGTATTAAGAGAATGCGTTTCACTATAAGCTTCTGTTATATTTGTGATACTTTGTTGCACTGCTCGCCAAAGTTTGATGTCCGCGTTAATTAAGTCCAAAACGGCAGCCCCTCCATTCGAATCTTGCTTCCCCAAGTTATTCCTTTTGCTTTTCTCTAAAACATCTACCGCAGAAAGGAGATAATCACTGGGAGATAAAGTGTGGTCTTTGACCTTCTGAGATACCCCTGTACTTGAGCACACATAATCATGGAGACGTTTCAACCAACGAGTGATACCAGATATTTTTTGCTCATCCCATTCAAGGACCTCAGTGACTGGTGCTTGAAAAAGCATATGGGCTCTGGTTGCATCGGCACCGTATTTCGTCATACACTGTGCTGGGTCTACGCCATTGTATTTAGATTTTGACATCTTCTCATAACTAATTTTGGCGATTTCTCCTGATGCAATAAGAATAGGCTTCGATGGTGTGGTGAGATCCACTTCCTCGGGTTTTAAAAATCTACCGTTGGAAGGATCTAAATAAGTCTTTCCATGCACCATACCCTGACTAAGAAGCTTCTTAAAGGGTTCCCCAAGAACGTTCTTGGTCGACCCTTCGGGCCAGAGAGGAGTTGTGGAAAGGAACTTTGATATGAAACGAGCATACAATAAATGCAAAATAGCGTGTTCAACTCCTCCGATATATACATCAACAGGGAGGATTGCATTGGCTGCCTCCGGAGAGAATGGTGTGGTTGAATTCTTGGGATCAGCAAATCTCATAAAATACCAGCTAGAATCGACAAAGGTATCCATGGTATCAGTATCTCTTTTAGCATCGCCGCCACACTTGGGACATGGGACATTGACCCAGTCGTAGGCACCATCAAGAGGATTTCCAGCTTTACCTTTCAGCCAATGGCCTTCAACTGAAGGAAGCTTAACTGGAAGCTGATCTTTAGGAACAGGGACTGGACCACAACTAGCACAATGAATCATGGGAATAGGGGTACCCCAATATCTCTGTCGACTGACAAGCCAATCTCTGAGACGCCATGTCTCAGCAGCTGAACCAAGACCTTCATTTTGGAGCAGTCTAATTATGCCTTGCTTTGCTTTAGCCGTTGTTTGTCCAACGAATGATCGTGGATTTTCTGATGTAAGATGACCAGGATGAACAAAAGGTTGGTCTGCGGGGACAGCTTTCGAAGCACCTTCAACAGGACCAACTACATGCCTCGGTGGAGTGTCATGGTTATTGTGCTTCCAAAATGCATGATCTCGAGTATCATGCGCTGGCACTCCCATAACTGCTCCATCACCATAATCACCCAATACATATGGTGCAACATAAACGGGTAAAGGTGCTTTAGATGCCTCTGGTGTAGATTTTCGGGATGCTAACGGATGCACGGCACTAACATTGGGAAGAAGATAGCCAACCTTTGAGTCAGGTGGTAAATCTGACATGCTGTCCAAAAACTGTTGTAATTTTGTATCTTGTTTTGCAAGACCTTGAACAATAGGATGTGTTGCTGCAAGAGCAATGTATTGAACTCCAAAGATAGTATCCGGTCGGGTGGTGAAGACTTCGACAGACTGCTGAGAACTATCTTCACCTGCTGATATCGAAAATTGAATTCGAGCTCCTTTTGATTTCCCCAGCCAATTCTTTTGCATGGCTAGAACTCTTTCCGGCCACATACCTCCCTTAGCCAAGTGATCGATGTCTTGAAGCAATTGCTCTCGAAATTCAGATATTTTCAGAAACCATTGTTTTAGTAGTCTCTTCTCAACTTTGGCTCCCGATCGCCATGAATTCCCATTTGCATCGACCTGTTCATTTGCAAGAACGGTTTTGTCCACAGGATCATAATTCACTAAAGATTCTGCTTGATATGCTAGACCATGCTCATGAAGAAGAAGAAATATTTCCTGGGTATGTTTGTAAAAATTGGGATCGCAAGTTGTGATTTCCTAATTCCTATTAGCTACCAAATCTATGATTACATTTGTAGACATGCCCTATCCCAATCCCAACGTCCATTCCAAGTAATTAGCTGACTCTTCATCTTCTGTATATTTTGTTTTGTCCAGACTGCGGGGTCTATTCCACGTTCAATTGCTGCATTTTCAGCAGGCAAGCCAAACGCATCCCAACCTATTGGGTGGACAACATTGTAACCTCTCATTGTATGGAATCGTGCCAGGACATCGGAAATCGTGTATGCTCGAAAGTGACCCAGATGAAGATCGCCCGATGGATATGGAAACATAGGCAATATGTACATTTTCTGGCTATCATCTTGTTCATTGTCCTTTGCTGGTTTCGGCTTTTCCGTCGTCGTCCACTTTGCACGCCATTTCTGATCCAGAGATGGCAGATCTAAGCTTGGAAAGGGGTTATTAGTAGAAGTAGAAGCGTATCGAGTAAATACGATAGGCTTGATATTTTGCAAAACGGTAGCGGGGTAATTGCGACGACAATAAGATGAAGGTCGAATTAAACTCGTTCGAGATAATGCGCATCTGCGAATGGAGGACTGCATGATTTTCAAGGCATCATGTCATGCCAGGGACCAACTACTCAAAGAAATAGTCGACCACTCTTGGATTTGAATTCGCAGATGGCTATATCGCGGGTTGACTTCTTTTTGAAGTGGAATGTTGTATTTGAGAGGGGTAGCTATGAATATACCCAAGTAGCTTCATGATATATTTTTATTAGAGTAAATATAAAAAATTGAGCACGGACTCAATTTTATATAATCTCAGCCTTCTCTGGACTCTGGACTCAATACCCTCAGAACTCAGGAGTAAATGTTAGATATTGTTATTAGTGAGTGAGTCGTGAATCTAGTGAAGTATCAAAGTATCAAAGCACCAAAAACCCAAATCAAAAGGAAAGCACAGGCAGGTATAAAAGTATAATACTGCCAAGATCCTCAAATCCTTTAATGGATCACAAAGACAATAACGTAGATGATCGATCTACTTTGGTACCTCAAAAATAAAACATCCATTGTCTACGAGTATCTCGCTGTCTCATTGAAAACAACCAGAACACATTGCACTTGAGATTCTACGCGCTCTGTTCTTTGGAATCCTTCTTCAATTCAAGTAAATATTGATTGATATTTAAAGTTTTATTTCACTTCCTTTCCTTACTATCCTTCCGATACGAGTTCATTGCGATTGTGAAGTTGCACGACCGTTATGATTCTATCATTGCTATAAACGAGAACCAACAAACAGACTGCCGTTGATCGCCCCCTCTTGAAGCTTTAAAGCATGCGATGCTGGCTTTGAACGACTTTCACGAACAATTATAATGTCACCCACCTATCAAAATTTACAGCCTCACGCGCGCGATTCTTTAGAATTAGCTAGTTTAGCATCGAGTTCCCCTGGCGCGAGATCATCAACAGATTCAATATCATCAGATGCTGGTATATCCTCATCACGGAAGCTTTCACTCGAAGAAGACGATCCTTTAGATGACCGAAATCCCGCCGCGAATGGTCGACCTGGAAGAGGACATGGCAGAACATATTCTGTCTCTTCGGCCTTCGACTTTTCTTCCAACCTTTACCCTCTGTCTTCTACCGCAGGAGGTTATGCGCCGATCGGAGCCCCTATTTCTACGACAAATGGCCAAACTGCCTTAGGAGGAGGATCCTTGGAAAAACACAAGACTTTGACATATCTGAACGGTTTGTCATTGATAGTTGGCTTGATAATAGGGTCCGGGATTTTCTCCTCGCCGAGTCAGGTCAATGCAAATGCGGGATCACCAGGCGCATCATTAATTGTATGGGCAATAGCAGGAATATTAGCATGGACTGGCGCGTCAAGTTACGCGGAATTGGGAGGAGCAATACCATTAAATGGCGGCGCACAAATATATCTTTCCAAGATTTTTGGGGAAATTTTTGGGTTCTTGTTCACATGGTGTGCGGTCATTGTTCTAAAGCCTGGATCGACCGCCATTGTATCGATAATAATGGGAGAATACTTGGTACGGGCATTCATTGGAGCCGAGGCTGAGAGTGTCAACGTTTGGATTAATAAGAGCGTCGCATTGGTTGGATTGTTTTTCATTACCTTTTTAAATTGTATATCTACAAAGTTGGGCACGAGAATGGGAGACATGTTTATGTTCATGAAGTTTATTGCATTGCTTGGAGTTACAATCATTGGTGTCGTGGTAGCCCTTACAGGCTTCTCTACATCAGGGAAGGCGAATGAGGATTGGAAGAATCACGGATGGTTCGAGGGAACTAGTAGTAGTGCCTCATCATGGGCCGTTGCATTATATGCTGGATTGTGGGCCTTTGACGGTTGGGACAATGTGAGTATTCCAAGCCTTTTAGCCAAAACCTTTATTGACTTTCATAGACAAATTACGTGGTTGGAGAGTTCCGAAACCCTACTCGGGACTTGCCAAGAGTCATCCACACAGCCATGCCATTAGTCATTCTCTCCTATATCCTCGCTAATGTCGCCTATTTCTTCGTCCTACCTCTAAAAGCTATCAATTCTTCAAATACAGTTGCAGTTATATTTGGAAACAAGGTATTTGGTCCCATTGGATCATTGATACTTGCTCTTATTGTCAGCGCAAGCTGTTTTGGAGCTCTAAATGCAACAGCCTTCACTAGTGGACGATTAGTCTATGCAGCTAGCAAAGAAGGTTATCTACCCGCCATGTTTGGCAAAATTGGGCTTGGAAACCAAGCGGAACCTTCTGCCAACACTCTCCGAACACGCAATTGGGCATCAAAGAAATTAGCCAGATTCTTCGGTGACGAAGAAACCGGGCTCTTCTTCACACCCGTTAACGCCATGATTCTCAACGCTCTTTTAACAGCAGTCTATGTCGCTGTCGGCGAATTTGGTACGCTAGTCACTTTTTACGGCGTGGCTGGCTATACATTCTATTTCTTCACAGTCCTAGGACTCATTGTTCTTCGCGTTCGCGAACCTAATCTCGAACGTCCTTACAAGACTTGGATTACTACACCCATAATCTTCTGCTGTGTGAGCTTATTCTTACTTAGCAGAGCAGTCTTTGCGGAACCAATTCAGACTCTCATCGTTCTCGCGTTTGTACTCGCTGGAGTGCCGATATACTACTGGCGGATTCGCGGACGAGATCAAGTCTCCAAGAGAGAAAGAAGTAGCAGTGGGAGCGGAAGTAGCAGTTGGAAATTCTGGGAGAGGGGCTCACGTTAGTTTGAGAACCTATCATGGTAAATTGTCGTGCTTCGCATGAATCACTGATCAAGATGGATGAATGATTGAATGAACGATAGATACAGACATGTAAAAGAAAGAAAGAAAGACGAAGAAACAAGAACATTAATGTCAATACTTAATTGTGCGCCAAAATGCATGCTCTATTATCTAATGTGTGTATTCCGATAGGATGCTATTGCAATACCTCATTCACATCATCACTCATTGTCCTAGTTCAGTCGACACCCTCTGCCCATCATCATTATCTCACACAACTTTCTTTGCTCTTTCTCCTCCCATCTCTTCCTTTACATTTAAGCGCATGCATTCTATCAATCTCATCCATCTAGCTACGATCTCACCTTAACTCTTAACTTCTTTTGTATTTCGCATAATACTTCCCTAATTTCCCCTCCCCTCCCCTCCCATCTAACCTTTACATCCGCCAACTCCACAAGCCACACCTCAAATTCCCATAACAAACCATCCATCCCCACAGTCTACCTAGGTATACTCTAAAATCGACAGACAATCCAAATCACGAACCCACACACCGAATACCTAATCAAGTAACCGAGTAAAACTCCGTTTCAACACAGCATAGAATCATTTTCACGTACAAATCCACGTACATACGCAAACACGAATTTGCATCTGATTTTGACATAATCATATCTATAAGTCAAGAATACAGAAGTTGTAATTCACAACCTATAACACAGATCAATTTCTCAACACGTATTATCCGCTCAATGAAGTAAGTATGTAGCGAAAAAATAACCAAGGTACAATACCTACTCAATCGCTCGACCCAGAATCTCAATCTAGAATCCTTTTTACGTATGTATATTGAAAATGATATCGGACTTCGCCATATATTCCTTCCATGCTATTGAGTTATTCTGTACCCTACCATCTACTTCCCGTCTATCCATTATGCATACCCCCATCGAGTTTAGAACGACCTCCAGAAGAACGTAAAATAAATCTCTATCACTATCCCCTTTCCATCTCCATCTCCACGACCCTCTGAATCCTGAGCGCGCAAACATCTCCAAAAGAGCAAGTAGACACAAGTATCTCCAGCACTAGACCCACTCACCCACCCATCCATCAACTCATCTAAAGGATCTTAACTCCCCGTCTCCCTAACCCAGTCCGTGTCAAAACCCCTACTCCGCACAAAACGGCTATACCACTACGACACTAAAGCAGATCTCCTTTCGCATTTGCGCTAAGAGCGCGCAACCCCACCAGTGATTCCTTTCCCTTTCCCCTTTAATCCCCATCTCCGTCTCCATTCCTTCAACTTCACATCCACCGCTTTGAGACCTCACTTCTCAAACCCACAATAAAGACGTTAAACTTCGTCGTACTCGGACTATCCTCCCCATCAATTCTCCGCTCATGTGGAGCAAATAGCTCTTGCGAGTTGCGACCCCATTACGCTTCAAGGATAATTGCACAACCAAGCCCTAGCAGAATTCGCATCATACTACCATTTACATTCTCATTCCTTCCTACAATCTAGCCTCCTGACACCCAGTCACGAACCATAATAGATTACTCTAGAGCATACCAATACTGAATCCCTCACAAATACACACACCATATCCACAGTAAGCCTCCTACACCCCTCAAAAAACCTCGGTCGATCTCCCTTGTAATACTCGCCACACTTGCACTCGCTATTAAAGTAGATCGCAACATCAAATGATCTAAGAGACCCCTGATCAAATCCTTACTCATCTTCATCTTAATCTCATCTACTCTTCGCATCCGTCTTCATGATCCACTGTCAAATTTGCGAATCCCATATTATCTCATCGGATGCTTATATGGGGATGCCCCACTAGTACACGTACAAGTAGACCCCAATTTCGCAATCAAGTTAATCAACCAAGCCGGCAGACTACCAAGCAAGCAAAGAATTATGCTGGTAAGCAACTAGTTAGGACAGTATTAGATACATATCCAGAACGAGTTCTAAAGAGCGAGACTTATGTCATCCTCACGTTATCACTTTCGGCGATAAACCGAATTTCAAGTATGCTATAAATTTAGAACGAAGGGCGATGGAAGCTAAGGGAGGGAGGGAGGGATAGACGTATCTATGCGTAAGCCGAAAAGTCGGGATTGAGAATACACAATACAAGAAATTTTATACCCGGGAATGCATTATTGAATTTAAGAGTGAACATTTTTATCCTGTTTAACTGCATATTTCGAAGTCAAGAGGGGAAAAAAAGGCTAAATTCAGACCCTCAAAAACAATTTACCCTCTCATCTCATCCCCCCCACTAACCATACTCGTTCCGCAAAACCCATCCAGTAAAACCCACATATGAAAGATGACCCGAAAAAATCCCCTCAAGCATCTCAAATCTTCAACCTTCAAACTTCAAAGGTGCCGTACATACATACGTGCATCAACACTAAACAAGCGTCGGTCTCGTCCGTCTATCCGCTCAGGACTTATATGTATGTGATAGCTCATGGGGTTCTTTGCAGGAAGTAATCACTAAATCCTTGACTAGTGAACCCTTGCCTATTAGCATTCGGTTTGAACCAATTACTATACTTCTTCATAAATGTATAGTAATCACTAAATAAATAGTAAAATGGATTGACTACACTGAGCCAAAATTAAATATGGAACATAACCCACTCATTGACTAAGTAAGCAAGTACCTAGGTCAAATAATGAGTTATCTTATGAACGTAATATCAGCATTTAGTTTTGGTGTGACCAAATACGCACTAGCGTGGATTAAATTGACATTTAAACATCTGACATAGCACACCATGTTACCATCACTTTCGTCTCGCTGACCATCAATTTGTTCCCAGCCACTATTCAGAAACAAAATAAAATACTGGAGTACAAGTCCGGTAATACAAATCCTGAATACGTAAATACGTGAATAAGCCCGGCAATAAAAAATAGAGTTAGCACCATCTATCTTGGCTCTAGGTATTTTTCCGCTCGATCAACAAGAGATCGTCTGAATATATGAGCAATTACTCAAAGGGGAAATACCCTCCGATCCCGTACGGCGTAATGGCGCCACGACTGTGCCTCGTGTGGATAACCAAGGATATTTGATTTCCATTATTTTTCTCTTCGTTACTTACGAAATTCTCCCATATCCACTATCGCAAGTATATAATAGACGAAGATTAACCATGATTACAGCCATGGCCATGTAGATTGTTCCTGTATCGATGTGGCACGGCGGGGCAACGTAACAGCGGGGGTGGAGCGGACAAGCTAGAAAGCCATGTACCCAGACCTTGTGTGCTAATGCCCGCAGGGTCTTATTTGAGGCCAAGGCTAAAACTGCATGCCGGGTAGATAGATGTATACTTGGTTGTTTATGGAAGGTGTTCAGTCCGAAAATCAATCGTGGCATGGAACATGCCATCTCATAGAATAATCTATTTGTCATACTAGCAAGCCGGCGGCCAAGGCATACCCAGAAATGTACGAAGTCGCAGAAGTACGGCGTAGCTGCAGGGACCGGCAAATAGGTACAAGTGAAGGACTTGGTATGCTTGACTGTCTTTGATCTAGGGAAACAATGGTATGAGAGAAGAAATCCTTCATTTCATGCTATTTGATCCTTCGGAATCCTTGAAAATAAAAGTAAGAGGGTGTGTGTTTTCGTGAATGTTCTGAAGCTATTTTGCGTTCTCGTAGATGCGACTAAAGGATCGAGGCTGTGATTGAGGCTTTCAAGCCTCCTCCTGAGCACGGGACGGGAGGAACGTGTTGTACAAGTACTACCGTTGTGATATGTCAAATGCATAGCTTTAATGCTAAATCCTAGAAACCACGAGGAAAATTGTTTAGTTGGGTTGGATAGTGTAGTTCCTTCCCGTTTGTGTTGTGGGTGAGATGCGACAAAGAATTTGTATAGTGGGGGGTAGTTAAATTATGGTTGCATTTACGCAAGGGGTTCTTTGGAGGGGTTATCGTCCTTCGTAGATGCACATGGGAAAATCGAAGGCTATCGGAAGTTCGAGTGGGGTTACGAATCGCAGATTGAAGGATTTTGTTCTTCTCCCATCGTAAATGTCGATCCGGCTGCGACCGACAATGAATTGGTCCTTTCTTCTTCATTCATCGGCTCCGTCAACTCCGGGCTCGGTCTGGTCAATCCCTCCAGCAGCAGCTTTCAATGCCTTCTCCTTTGCCTTCCTCTTAACTTTTTTCTCTCTGTTCTTCCTAGCTCTCCTCTCTTTGTCTGCCTCCTCTTTGCTTTCCTTCTCCCTGGTCATTGCCTGTTCTTGAGCCTCAATTGCCCTTCTCCTCTCTCTCATGAGAATCCTCTTCTTCTTGCCTAGTTTCCTCCTCTTCTCCACATTGGAACTGTTTCTGGCCCCGAGGAGGCCATTACTTCCCAGCTTCTTCTGTCCACCAACACCAATCTTCACAACCCGGACTCGCCACGGAACTTCCAAGCCCCAATATCTTTTACCTCTGCCTTCCAAAATATTTTCTCCACTAATTGCCGCAATGGCGTATTTCTCTTTACGTTGCCCCTCAATTGGGCCGGTGAAGTAGTAACTCTTGTCCCTTTCCTGAACAACAAAAATCCCTTTATCAATTGCCTCCTCCTTGAGGACTATCTTGCCTTCTTGGACATTTGAGAAAAGCCGAAAGTCAAATTCCTCTGCCTGGTCCTGGTTATCTCCTAATGGTGGTGAATGTGGAGCATCGTTTATGGATTCAGGGTTTGACGCGTTTCCGGTCGCGCATGATTGAAATGAAATAGGTCCATATAGTGAAGCAAGCTGGTTGTGAAATCGAGCGGAGATATCAGGGTCGATTGGTGAAGGTGGTTCAGGAGATGATGATGAGGATCGAGTATATAGATCTGAACGGCGCACACTATCAATCGAATGTTAGCAGATATTCAAACTGGTGTATTTCTTCCACAGAGAAATAACACACTCACCGTTTCGCGTCCGGAAGGTCAAACATGTTTATTGTTATGTTGTTGTGAAGCTTGACCAATGTTTCTGCATCGAAGCTCTCGACATATTTTTTGGTGGGGATTGAAATTAAGTCTGTGCGGGGGCCAAGAATGACCAATTGTGCAACGGGCTGGCCCGCAATCTTCTGTTTAGACTTCACTTGGTATTTTTTTGTTTTATATAAAAGAATAATAATTGTTATATATCTTACAGATGATCAAAATCAAAGAATAAATCCTGTGTTTAAATTGTTCGAAATTTCACCCATCACCTTTATTGGTTTATATTTGACCATGTATTAAGGAATTAATGAGGGTATCAAGTCTGATCATAACATTAGTTTATAAAAGTACATCCATTGTTCTATCCATATTGATATCATCCAAATCATTGATCCATCCCATGTATCCGCAGTGTAAAAAGTATGAAAGAGATGCCAAAAGAAAAGGAGACAAGAGAAACCTAAAGTTCACCACCCTTTTTCCTACGCCATCGCTTGCTATGTATGATGCCTATGCTGAATTTTCAGTTCGCTGGGGAATACCATAATGTATCCCATATCATCCTATTGCATTGCTTCGTTTCCTTCCATCTCAAGAGAGAGCACATATAAACAAGAAACTGGGGGCTAATTCCCTTGGGTACTGACTGGAGTGCAGAATTTAAAAAAAAGATTGAGATTGACAGAGCGCGAGGAAATGATTTTCGTGGCGTATGGAAAAGTGGAAGATTCTCAGGAAGAGATTTGAAAGTGATGCATGATTTTCTGGATTCGCGCATACAAGGCCCGATATCTGATATCTGATGCGTATGTGTATTGGAATGAGTTCTCATTGAGATGCTGAATTAATGCAACGCGTTTCTTGTGAAAGTTTAATAAAACTATGCAGCGCTCCAAGTGTAATGCTGTTGACTGGGCTGTTGATGTGGCGGTGGTGGTTGAGAGTGGCCTTCTTCTTTTACGTAATGCTGATCCCCAGAATATTCATAATGAGAGCTAGTGACTGCGGGCAGCGTAGTTCCATACGTAGACGCGGTATCTTGAGCAGTGGTCCAAGGCTGCATAGACATAGTTGTAGGGAAGTATTCTCTTGGTTGCGCAGGGTCACTGGCAGAACTATATGGAATAGGTGCGTTGAACCGAGCCGTGAAATCGGAAGAGAAAGAAGAGTTCAGTTCGGGGGGTGCTTGATGGCGAGGTGATTTTGCGGGCCGTGGATTGCTGTCGATGAATCGTATGGGAACCCCACTCGGTGAGGTTGTACTTTGGTACGTGTATGATCGTACTGGAGGTGCAGGGGCTGGCATTGTAGAGGCTGGAGAGTGGGTTTGTGGATTCTCTGAACTGGAATGATTTCCTTGAAGATAATTATCCATCGATAAAGACGGCGGGGGTCCTTGGTAGTTTGGAGTTGATGGGCCTGGGGTGTGCTCAGATGAATGTGGCGGAGCGAACCATGATGGTAAAGTTCTAATTTGGCCATGTCAGCTTACAGTCAAGGCAGATGTAACGAAGTTGAAAATGATTCCAAGATCATTCGACTTCAAGTCAAAATTCGGATGAATAACATGACACTGAGTGAAAAAACTTACTGTTGTCGCATCAAATGTGGAGAAACAGGAAGATTGCTTGCATCGAAATTGAATGGCGACCGAGGTAGTTCCAGGGTCTGAGGTTTTGCCAATTTCAGCTTCATTGTAGCACTACCAGACGTACTGCTGCTTGTGATCTGCAATTCTGGTGCTTGGCCCCGAGAGGCTGATGAACCGACGAGTGCAATTTCCTTCCTTGCTTGGAAGTTCCTTGGGCTTCGACCTCTGACAACGATGGGCGCTGTCGCTGTCTCGCAAACATTGATCTTGGTGTTATTTCCCAAGGTTCCTACAACATTTAGATGCAAAGTGAAATGTTGTTGGAGCTCTCGTCTCCGGCCATTGTTCGCAGTCGCGATTCTAAATTGAAGTCTTCTGTAGGCTATAGGGTAGACAGCGAACTCATTATTTGTATCCGGAGCTCCATCGTCAAATGGAAGTAGTGGAATAGGCGATGGTTCCTGCTCCTGGCCAGGTGTTACTTCAGGGGAGTTTGGTGGAGGTGTTTTCCATGGGATGACAATCAGTTTGACAGAGTGGCCATCAACTGATTCCGTGGCACTGATCGTTACTTCTAGGGACAAGATTGGAATGCGTTCTCCACGTTCTGTGATCACTGATAAGGCGCCTCGGGGCGTAGTAACGGACCCGGAAATTTGAAATAAGTTCCTCCGGTAGCAGGTCAGCTCTGGCTGGACAATCACTCCCTCGCCCGTGGGGGTTGTCATTTCCGATAAAAAGAACATTCCGTGAATTTGCGCTGAAAGGTCTAGCTGTTGTATTCTTCCATGTTGGTCTACGATAGTGTGCTTTGGCTGTCGTTTACTGAAGGAAAGTAGTCTGTGGTCTTGACTAATATTAGGTTTTGGATGTTCTGACAAGTCTTCCCGGAAGTCCTGCACTACTTCGCCATAGGGCGAATCATCTGTAGAATGAAATGGTCGTTTGAGAGAAGGGTAGCTATGATGTGAATTTAGTGATGGTGGTGAAGCAGTCAACACCCCGTTTCCTTCCCTGTGGGGAGGTCTTGCGTTGATTGAAGAAATATCCATTGATCGGTACCCTCCCTTCTGTCTTGCATGGTACGGCAGTGCCAGAGGACCGGAAGGAAAATTAGACTCGAAGGCCGTTTGATGAGAAGTATGAGGTGGCTGGAGAGCATAGCTTTGCCAAATTGAATGTTCTGACTCTTCTGGCTTTATGGCTGCCATCGTTGTTGTTTGTGTTATGGACATTGAAGCATCTGAAGAAAGAAGTTTTGATTATTGGTCGATTAATGATTGAAGATTAAGAGTCAAACATTTATCCATAAAAGTGATTCTTCATGGAGTGTTTAGCATGATGTATTATGGGATGAAAAGGAAGATGAAGGCCGGAGTACAAGCTTATCCTGGGTTCGGGAGCTACGCTCTTATTCGTGAATCTAAACATGGTCTACCAAAGGGGCCAAAGGACGAGACTAAGGTGCGGGATGCAAGCAAGCCTCATGATGGGTCTAACGTCCTTCCGAAATCTTTGTCAAGTAGGCAGGTGGATAACTGCTTTGGCCTCATTTGTGTTCCGTTCCCCTCTTCGAAAGGGCAATGTATATGAGTACCCCCATGGCATATATTATCTCGAACGAGTAGAAGTGGCTGGCGCGTGATCTGCATTAGTGATAGTGTATAAGAATATGGACTAGATTGATCCTATTGGGGAGAGTTGTATGCTTCCATCTCTCAGTGCCTAAAGCCGGAAATCATGGCGAATTGGAGATCTTCAGAGGGAATATCGAAAAAGACGTTGACGGACAAGGATAAATCTGTAACCGATGTATAGTTCAAGGGGGGGACCGTGTACCGCCTCACGGTCATCTCTCAAAAGAGGATGGAATCCGCTGACAGGCATATCCAAATGAGTATAGCTCCCATAAGGTGAAATAGCCTTGACCAACAAGTGCCCCTGACCTGTCAATAAATCCGGCCGGCAACCATTCCACAAGCACTTACGATCAAAAAGATATCTCAAGCCCCCAAGCGCCCCAAGTACCAACATTGTCCGATGTCATTTCGTCTTATGTTTTGGTTTGTTGATGCTTTCCTATTCTCGCGTTTGTAATCACTTCTTTTTCAATGTCTAACGAGCTAACGCAGCATTAGGTCTTGTGAAGTCTTATTCAGCACCAACCAATATAAATTATTTCCAGGGCCCTAGAAAGTATCCTTGATGATCTTCTGACGAATGATAGCTAGGACTGTCAGCCATGGGCGGAGATGAGGATATGGCCTAAAAGAGTTATAGTTCGGTAAGTGGATTTGAAAATAATCCTGGGGTGTCCTAAATATTACCAAGGTTTAGCTTCACATCTCTGCAAATGTTTTTTTTTTTGTGCTTCGCGTGAGATTTCGCTTGTTGCGGCGGCGGATGTGAATACGAACCCGGCGATAAAATCTGACAGTGCGAGGTGCATCAAGATTAAAGGATGATAATGTATTACTACATATGTGGAAAAATAATATTTTTAGCTTGAGACTACGATGTTATATGAGTAATCCACGATCTATTTCTCACCTATTGTGAGCTGATATCGAAGACACGATTTGAATTTTTGTCAAATATCTTCTTACCTCTGATCGTCCTGCATTGTCCCGAACATCAACCTATTATCTCAACATACATACATCCCTAGTGATGCCCATGGGTTTGAATTAGGTTTGGTTCTCCCGAGATAAATGTGCGAAAGAACTTGTGGGGCTGCGGAAGATGAAGGGGTTAACATTTTCCTAAGCCCAAGTTAGATAAGCTTCACGAGATATGTACTTTTTATCCACCTACGGCAAGGGTGTAGGAACTCACCCAGGATCGTAAATGTATGGTGGCATGTTCAAGTACTGTTCAATGCATTTTCAACTTTCGATTGAGTTAAAAGCGGGTTCGAGATCGCAGCTATTCGGTGCATAACCTAGCTGTCGAGTAGGTATCTCCGAAATTGATAGATACCTAGGCATCTAGATACTATTACTGGGAGTGTTACCATGATAGCATGTGCTTCTGTTTGTGGGTGGTGGCTCGTCAAACCACATCAATGCTTTCAAGATACTACAAAGGGCTAGGAAGACTAGGAGGGTTTTCGGATTTCTTCAAGCTCGCATAAATGTTTGCACTAGTTCCGTCAAATGAACGCTTGTAAATAATGTATGTATTGCAGCCATCTGTAGAAAGCCTTAAACGTTGAAGAAAAGTCTAAAATGAAACACATTAAAATTATAGGCTTTCGATGCTTGTCGTAAAGCCTGCCATAAGTTTGAACAGACGCTCAAATCAAGAACCGTTCAGCAACTAAGACACCTTCAGCTATCATTGATACCGCGAATTAAGCCTCCGACGACATTTATCGCCTCCGGAAATTTACTCTGCCCTAAAGTCTGATGAATG